GTAGGATATATTTTAACATGAACATACATACTTATAAGGGTGTTAACATAAAGCCAGGTATGCGTGCAGTGGAGGAGAGAGGAATTTTCAAGCATAACTTTGGCTCCCTGTGATTTTTGCATGCTCCAACTTGAGAAACAAGCCCCTGGTAAGTTGTGGTACCACTGCATTCAGAATTTCATTAAGAAGATCGAATTCCAGTTTTAAAACATCGACATTTATTATGAAGAGCCTTGCTTGCTCCATAAACATTCAAATTGAATAACTTGCAAATATGTACCCAGTTTATACTGGCCATTTAGGTCACTTCAGAATCGAAGGATCAAATGTCATGTATCCAAAAAATTCCATATGCAATTGTTATTCTCAATTCAAAAAACTGAAAAGTTGACTATGCCTTTGGATCTTCTTCTTTCCTCTCTCTCTCTCTCTCTCTCTCTCTCTCTCTCTCTCTCTCTCTCTCTCTCTCTCTCTCTCTTTCTCTCTCTCTCTCTCTCTCTCTCTCTCTCTCTCTCTCTCTCTCTCTCCTGGATTGTCATTGAAGTGACTGAGGGTGTTTAACATCTTTAACCTTTAAGGGAATCCTAAAAGCATTCCATGCCCTGCGAACATCTCATCTGCTGCCATAAGGTGGGACACCTTGCATCTAGACTACATCTGATTTCTAGCCTACAGCCTCTTACTCTTAAGCTTTAATAGTCTCAGAAATGGCAAAGAAAACAATATAAAAGCACCTCATAGATTAACAGACCATTACTAGTCCTCGACACTTCAGCAGATGAAACCTCCTTGATCCCAGACTATAAAAACGCCTTCTGAAGGCTATTGAGCTCCTCTTTGATTCTCGGCCCAAGTCTTAATTTTTTCACAGCGCCGAAGCTCTGCATTTCATTAGTGATATCTTCTTAAATCCCTGTGTGCCCCTACTTGTTTTAATGGGGTTTCTCTTCTACTGAGTCATCTGTATTTATTTTAAGGTTGAACTAATAAATAACAAAATATAGTTTTAGAAACTATTGATTATAAAGATTGGGTTGGGTTGGGTATGTTTGTTTTTTAGACAAAACACAATAGTTAGAAGCTTGACCTTTTCCCATTCCAACCTTCTAGTCACTTCATATGGAGTCCTCAGGTTAAAAGCACACCTATTAGGTCCAGATTTTATTCCACAGTCATCTAACTTTTTCTTGCACTTTGTCTCAAATACTGTATTTTTCGGACCATAAGACGCTCCGGACCATAAGACGCACCAGTTTTTAAGAGAAGGGAAATGAAGAAAAAAAGATTCTGAAACAAATAGTGTCCTAAAATATTTTATGTGCATTAAAACCCAACATCACAGTCATAAACACATGTAATCAACCCTGTAAAGTAAACAGCAGCATTTAGAACCATTTTAAAGCCGGGCAAGCACACAGAGACCACACAGAGCCAGGCAAGTAAAAAAACGTTTTTTTTTAAAGTATATGTTTAGGCTATATTTGGACCATAAGACGCAGGGACTTTTTCCCCCCACTTCTGGGGGGAAAAAAGTGCGTCTTATGGTCCGAAAAATACGGTAAGTTTATACAATCTCAAATGGCAATAACAGGAAGTCACAAGAATCTTTTCACTCCCACAAAATGAATGATACTATCAACAGAATCGGGCTCCGTAGTTCCTCTGTAAAGGCAAAATATGAAAACTTGAATTTTAGCACAAGCCCAACCCTTCGTGTGCGCAATGTTGTTTATTCTGTAGTCAGGCTGTTAGAATGCAGAGATGTTGGTCAAAGGGCACAAACTTCATTAGAGGATGAATGAATTCTGGGGACCTAATACACTCTATAGTATTTATAGTTCATAATATCATATTATATGTTTTAAAGTTGCTAGAAGAGTTGATCTTAAATGTTCTTACCACAAAAAAGAACCAGTAATTATGTGACATGATGGAGGTGTTAGTAATAACCATTTTGCAAAACATAAGTGTAACAAATCAACACATTGTACACCTTAAACATATACAATGTTATATGTCAATTATATCTCAAAAAAAAAACTAAAGAAATAATTGCAAAGGATGGAATTGAAATCTGAGATTAAAAGAGATTTAAGAGTTGTATCAATTAATCACAACGTGTTAAATGTATTTGGATCTTGAGTCACATAAAGAAATTATAAATATAAAAAGATATGTTTGGTTTGGTATATCTAGCCTACCTTTTAGCAATGGTTACAGAGTAGCTGAAGGCATTTTTGTTTTATATATAACTTTATACAATAATTTATTTATTATAAAACAATATACTTTAACATGTTGCTTTTCAAGTATCTAATGATATTTTCAAAAGAAGTATTAAAGAACAGTCTAAAAGAGAAAAAGAAATTATCTCAAAAACTCACAATTCAACTAACTTCCAAACACCTATGAGGCACATAATGTTCTTTAAAGTTTACTTGCCTATGAAAAACAAATTATAGTGTTATTTTTAATGATATAAAAATATGGCACATTCGAGTGGAGCAACATGCTTACGTGGTTCAACACATTCATATTAGACTTAGCAATTATAGTAGTAGATGCACTCGAGGTTTAGCAATGTTTTATGTTAATACTAGAGTCCTGGAGCATTAAATTCATACACTGTGTGTGTGTGTGTGGGGGGGGGGGTGTCCCTCAGCCAAGCCTGTGCCCTCTCACCGTCTGGGACCCCTCAGGGGATGTCCAACTGCCGGGTTGTGGCTGGATGGCCTTCTACTGCTGCACAGCCTGCCATTTGAGCTTCAGCAGCTTCTGCATATGCACGGGCTGGGCCACCACACTCTGTCCTGCGAACACCATCGAGTGGGTGAGTTAAGCACGGAGGCAGGCTTACCCTGAGTTCCCTGTGCTTCCCTGAGTCACTGAGTTGTTCAGACTGACTGCCTTCTACAGAGAACTGCACCGGGGTTGGGCCTAAGCCGGCAGTCGGACATCCCTCTCGCAGTCTGGGACCCTTTGGGGGATGTAGCCATGCACCAAGTGGCAGGTGGCCAGGGAGGAGCCTGAATCAGAGCCTGACACCACGCCACTAGCACTCATTCCAGCCCGCTGTGCCTGCTGTGGCTGCTTGGTAGTGCTGCCACGGAGTTGGGAAAAGCTCTGCCATGGCAGCTGCACTCGCCAGCAGTGAGTCTGGCTTTGGGCTGAGCAGCACTCCCCCTGGGGAACACACTGACCACCAGGGGGCAGCTCCTGCATTGAGCATCTGCCCCGGGGTGGTCAGTGGGCATAATATCGACTGGTCATTCGGGTCGTTCTGCTATAACAGTCCCTTGGGCTTTTATTATATAGATGTAATGAAATTCATTAATTTGAGTTTGGATCTAAGCTCTATAACAAAGACTGAAACCTGGCTAAACAACTATAATATGCTGGGTCAGCCAAAGATAGTATTTAAAATTAGAAAGAAGTATTCAACAGGGTGACCTGGATTAAGAAGTTACGTATCATCTTGACTGAAGTTACTATTTTGTAACATTTATGCTAATCAACTGACCTATTATAATAAAATTGGTTAGACATACTGTGAAGGATACAACAACAAAATGGAAAAATAATTCAGGATATAAAGTAAACTCCAATTAGGAGGGAATGCTGTGTTTAATAATAAGTAGGAAGCAAACCTTTATTAAGCCTCTGTTGCAGGCAAGATACAGTGTTTATCAGTTTACAATTGTTAACTCATGAGCTCATCAATACATCTTTGAATGAGGTTTATTTTCTCAATACTCTTCTGATACGCTAAAAAGGGTAAAAATACTTGGAGGAATGGCCAAAACAAAATAGCCACAAAAGTTATAAGAAAGCAGACCACCCGGTAACATTTACCAGTAGAATCTTAGCACAGAGAATATAAGGATAACAATTTCTCATCCAGCCAAATTCTGCCCAAAATTATACACACGGTGTTCACCAAAGCTGACTGACTTGGGACAAGTCAGATTATTTTTAATGAATGTACTCTAATCTGAAAACGTAATTAATTCCAACACCATATTATACAATTCTCTTTTTCTTTAATTTTTTTTCTATACTGAGAAGCATATGTTATGGTAGAAAGAGCAGCTGTTTGAGAATTAGTTGTGTTTGTCACTTATTAGCTTGGTGACTGAAAATTAGTTAAAATTTCCTCATTCTAAATTTTATCTTACTTTGACTAATCCTTGATATAAAGATGAAAGGAGCTAGTTGATACAAAGTAGGTACTAAATAAATAGTAGCTCTTATCATATTCCAATGTATGTGGTTCTTTCTATGTACATTTTTATTAAAGTACTAACTACCTAGTTTTTGTCATAGACAAGGTTTAACATTAAAAACATGTAAAGGATATTTTAAAATCCTATAATAAAATGTGTTCACCTTACTAACAATTTTGGTGAGTGAAAAGATCATGGATTTAACTTGGAGAGACAGATGCTTTCTAGTTTGACAAATTATTGACATTTGCTGAGCCATGTGGCCTTTTCTCTTGGGTGTGATAGAAGTGTTCACTAACGAGAAAGAAGGAGCATGTGACACTAGATATTTTGGGGAAATTGGTGTTGCCACAGGTTGATACCATGGAGACCTATCACCTTCCTGATATTTTTCCACAAGGTGCAAATATAAGAGTTTTTTTTTTTTTTCCATTTGAGTCATGCTCAGGCAAGAAAATAATTCCAAACATAGTAGATACACTTTTCCACTGGATTGCAGAATAGCAATGACATATTTGTATATAAGGAATATAAAACCAGCTCTGACCAGTGTGGCTCAGTCAGTTGGAGCATGGTTTCATACACCAAGAGGTGGCTGGTTTGATCCCTGGTCAAAGCACATGCCCAGGTTGCGGGGTTGGTGTTTCTCTGTGTGTGTGTGTGTGTGTGTGTGTGTGTGTGTGTGTCTCCTTCCCTCCTTCCCCCTCTCTCTGAAAGATCAATTTAAAATATGTTTAAAGAACGTAAAAATGATTATTATATTGTTTTTGGCTATTTCAGAAAGAACCAAAAAGCCTGCTGCAGTGAACTCCAGTGGTGATGGAGTTTCGAGTCAACAGCTGGTTAACATTATCAGACTGAGTCGTGGTGCAGAAGTGACAGCTGGATGGGAGCCAGGTAGGCCAAGGCATACCAGAGATCATGCCTGTGTTTTAACGGGAGATTTCCTTCAGTGCCTCTGACCTGGTGCTGCATACATCTTAATTTAAAGTGACACGGTGTGATAAAAAACACAGCACAATTATAGCATCAACTCAGAGCACCTACACAAATAGAAGCATCTTAAAGGTGGCATGTTTTCCAACCAGGGCCAAGCATTCACTTTGCTCAAGAGCTCCTGGCTAAACGCTAGAACTATCTAGTGCCCTATTTAGAACCGTTTCATGTTTATTTTTTTTTTAATAAGGAATAAACTGTATCTGTTTTTATGGTCAAGTTAAAACAAGACTCCTACCTATAAGCTTGACAGGTAAAGCCACACCAATCTCTTCAGCTTTAAAAACCAGTCAGGGGTGAAAAAAATCTGTTTTATGCTCCTGAGACTAGACAACAAAGTTATGAGAGGGTTTCCCCTCCAGATTTAGTGTAGCTGTCCCCACCTGACACAGAAGCGCCGAACTATCAAACAGGATGCTGCTGCCGCTGGTCCACACCTGTGCCTTCAGAGCTGCCAACAAAGGGAGCTGGGCCTTCTGCCTCCGCACCTGCTGGATGGGTGACGCCTTTGCTTCTGCTGCTCCTGGAGCCCCCACCCCCACCCCACCACCAGGTGGAGAAATGCAGTCTTCAAAGGCTGACACTGAGAGCAGGCGAACGAGACTGCTGCATTACACGTTTAAATGCTAATTACAGAATATGCCGGCAGTGTGCTTGCGGGGGGGGGGGGGGGTGAGGGGGGGGGGAGGATATATTAATAGGAAAAAATTAATTTGCTCCTAATGAATGCTTGAGGTTGAGGGGGGGGCAGGATCTCAAAACACTAGAAGATAAACTATTTAAACCAAACTAAACTTATGACATCTCATAGGATTAGGTAGCCAATTTTTATGTTATTATTAGGAAATATATCGAGCATAAAGACAGCCTATACATATTAGTTGGAAAAAATAAGTACCTATCAATAATAACTTTAAATATAAATGGATTAAATGCCCCAATCAAAAGACATAGGGTAACGGGTTGGATAAGAAAACCAGACCCATATATCTGCTGTCTACAAGAAACCCATTTCAGAAAAAAAGGACGCACACTGACTGAGGTTGAAGGGATGGAAAAAGGTTTTCCAGGCCAATGGAAATGAAATAAAAGCTGGGGTAGCAATACTTATATCTGACAAAGTAGATCTCAAAGTGAAGGACATAACAAGAGATAATGAAGGCCACTTCATAATACTAAAGGGAGCAATCCAGCAAGAAGAAATAACCCTGGTAAACATATATGCACTTAATACAGGAGCACCCAAATACATAAAAATAGTTTTGAAAGACGAAGCTATCTCCCGAATGCCAGGCATGTAATTTTATAGACTTTACATGGTTTGCATGCTTAATCAGTGTAATGCCATATGCATTCACATTATTTATTTTTTAAGTGGTATATAATTGTTTAGTCTAGTGAGTTGAGAAGTAGATTAGCATGAAGAAATGAACAAATATAGCAGTTGTTTGGGGAAATGCCTAACTCACTTATTTTGAAGTAAGAGCAAAATAGTGTAACTTGGAGTATCACATTATAGAAAATCCAAAAGATTGGATTTTGTAGCACTACTTAAAATGACAGCATATGTAAAAGATTTTAAAGAAAGTATTGTGACTTTGTATATGTTAAAGCAATTAAGACTTACATTTAAAAGTATTTTCAAACACTAGGTTAAATACCTATGTAATTAATCAAACAGCAAGCTCTTTTAAATATCTTAATTTACACAATAATAATATATTTAAATGGTTTTTACAGAACAAGGTTGTTGACAAGTTTTAATAGTTAATGGTTTGGAAGCCCAGAAATAATTATTTTTCACTGATAAAGAAGAAAACACATACACACACACCCCAAAAAAACAACCAAGTATCCAGGTACACCACCCACATTTGTAACACTATAATATGTTTCAAGGCTTGAGCGGGGTTGAGGGGAGGGGGGCAGTGTAAAGGTCGTGTGTGTGGACCCTGTGTTAGATGTGGGCAGGAACAGAATCCCTTTGGAGTTCCTGGAAGATGAAAGAAGGAACAACTTCCTCTCATGTTCTTTTCTTGTCAAAGGAAAGTATTTGGGTAGTTGAAGCTACCACCTATCCACATACTAGTCCAAGTTCTGAAATTCTTCCCAAAAGTTATGAGAAGGTAAATTTTTAGTTCAATAGAGTGATTTCATCATAAGTCTGATATCACCCTTCAAGAGAGCAAGACTCCATACCAAACCGACACATGGCCAGACCATCCCCCGTTCCCGGGGCCGTCCTTCTCACCCGGGCTTGAACTTTGGCAGTAGTTAAAATTCAAATTGGACTGTCCACTCCCTATAAATGAAGCTAAAAAGTGCTGACAGAGTGAGGATAAGGTTCGAGCAAGCTAATGGTTTTAGTGTCTGAAACTTTTGATAATCTGGCTTTAAGTGTCATGGGTCTTTCAAGGTGGATTCCATCTGTCCTGTAAAGTTATGTATTGAAACATAATGCACCCCTTTGATCTCCTTTGTGAAAACCCTATGAAGTCAACAAAATGCCTCCATCCACTCAGCAGCCAGATCCCTAACCTGTTGACATGAAAGATTTTCACACTTGTAAGTGTTAGTAAACAGTAAGTGAGCTGTGTGTTGAAAGCCTCTCAGGAAAATGATTCAGGGATGGGCTGAGTCTTGCACTGGTACAGGCTGTCCCACTAATATTTTGTACCAAAATAAAACAAGAGAGCCCAGCTTGAGCCAGGATTAGGCCTGTAATGTCCACTGATATAAATTTTCAAAGTTATTCCCTAGTAAAGCATTTATTTTTAAAAGCATAATATATTTTATTTCCAAAGCACTTACGTTAGTGGGCAAAACTATTTCTTCAACATAGGTGCATGCCATGGTAAAGAACATAAATAAGATATGAGAGTGTGTATTCGCTTATGTATATGTTTTTATGTTTGTATTTATGTTTAGAGTTCCTGGGAGAGGAAAGAATGAGCAACTTCCTTTCGAGCTCTTTTCTGATCTATGTATTTTTTGGTTCATAATACTATGCATTTGTGTGAACATGTACATTGTCTACTCGAGACAGGTGCATAGAGACAAGAGCGTGCAGTGCAAATTACATTGACTTTTGCATCAGGAAGCTCCAGGTCCAAATATTGGCTATTATTGTTGAGTGACCTTGAGCATTTTTCCCATCTTTAAAAATGAGTAAACAAAAGGAGACATATGTGTACTTGAAACAATTTTTTAAAAGGTAAGAAGAAGAAAAAGAATAAACACAGTGGCCTGGTAGCTCAGTTGGTTAGAGCATCATCCCAACACGCCAAAATTGCGGTTTTGATCCCTGTCAGGGCACATACAAGAACCAACCAATGAATGCATAAATAAGTGGAACAACAAATCAGTGTTTCTCATTCCCTTTCTCCCTTTCTCTCTCTCTCTCTCTCTTTAAATATTTTATTGACTTTTTACAGAGAGGAAGGAAGAGGAAATAGAGAGTTAGAAACTTCGATGAGAGAGAAACATTGATCTGCTGCCTTTCGGTTCATAATACTGGGGATGTGCCTGCAACCAAGGTACATGCCCTTGACCGGAATTGAACTTGGGACCTTTCAGTCCTCAGGCTGATGCTCTAGCCACTGAGCCAAACAGGTTTTGACCCTTCCTCTCTCTCTTTAAAAAAAAAAAAATGAGTAATGCCTACATTATTGACTTTGGAATTAATTGAGACCAGCTATATTAAGAACTTGGTAAATAGTAGCAATAAGCACATACTATTTATCCTTTTTTCCCATATCAGCATCATAACCAGTCTTCGGCCCAACTTTTTAATTCAGTTACAGGATTTATTTAGTCTGCTTCAGCATTAATATATGTCCTCAAATTTTTTGAGTCATCGAACACAAACTTCATCGGCTCTGTTTGAATAGCAAGGAAATGTGGTCTGTCTGAGGCCTGCAACTCCCTGTTGACATATCTCCTAACAAGGCAAAATCTTGTCCATCCTTCAACAGCCAGGTCAGATGTCACTTCCTCTGAGAAAAGTCCCACAATGCTGCGGGGCAGCAATAATTTATTGTTCTTTTCACTGTTATTCCAGTATTTGGCTCATGCTATTATTGTAGTACTTATTAAATTGCATTATAATTAGTCCTTATCCTGTCTGCTTCCTCTTTGAAAAATTGAGTTTCATGAGGTCAGGATCTTTGTCTTAGTGTTCTTGCTACTTGCAGCATGTAGCATACAGCCTGGCAGCTATTTGCACATAACAGGCAGGAACAGGGAAGCAGGAAAGGAAACCAGAGGTAATATTTGCCTACTTTCTTACATTGCGTCTTTGATCACGTACTCAGCAATGAGTGAGGCTTAAAAAAGAAATAGACAGTGGTCATTAACAGGAAAAAATAAGAAGTTGTAAGTGCTTTCCAGTCTTGGGAATATGATTCTACATTATTTCAGCCTCTCACTCCTCAGCTACCTTAAAATCTGCTAATTTCCTAACACCAACTAGCCAAGCTATGGCAGATGGTTCTGAGACCCACACTGAATTTTTGTGTTGTGAACCAACAGATGTCCTATCCAGTGACATATGTGCACATATGTTAACAATGCTAGATTCTTTGAGTTTGCAAACATCCCTAACAGAGGAAATGTGAATTTGTATAAATATGTAAGCCTTTTATTTAATTCAAAATTAGTACTTATCTGTAGCTGCAATTTATAAATGTACCCCCTTTTCTCATCTAGCCAGTCTTCCTCAGCTTCCTTTCTAGGTAGAGCATTTTTCTAAGCATTTCCATTTACACACATGTGCAAACATATGTACATACACACACACGTATGTACATACATATGCATGAGTGCCACTTTCTCTAAGTCTTCTGCAATGATCGCTACCAAAGTGATATGCCTCAGGCTCAAATCTGAACATTTCACTTTCT